CTCGATAACCTTATCAATTACTCGAACCACCCCCTTTTTCAACATCCATTACAAGTTTCCTTAGGCAACAGTACCATCAACTCAGGTACGGGTCAGTTGGCGTTGACGCCTGGCCAACTCGCTCGCTAGAGCACCCTTCTCTCGAGGGAGAGAACTCACTTGATTTTTGAGGCACTCCGCTTGGCCTTCCAAAGTAGCCACATGATCTTCCAAAGCGGCCTTCTCGCAGGCCACAATGCAATTTTGCTCAGATAGTACTCGACGCTCCGCCTCTAAATCACGGAGTTCCTCCCTTAAGCCGGCAACAACATCTTGCACTATTTTTAACTGCGCTTCATATATGCTAGAGCGACAAACCCGGTCAGCAGCAGTAACCATAAGGGTAGAAGCTTGAGCAGTAGCATATCAAAAGTCATCAGCCATACGAGCACCCGATTGGGCCGCAAGAAACTTCATTGTGGCCGGTGGATGAGCATAACTACTCCACTCCTGGGCGATGATGCCTTCTGACAGTAAGAAATCCTTAGTAACCGCCCAGCTTGGAGCATAAACTTCGAAAGCCAAGGGGTGAGACACATTTTTCACTTTGTCACCCATGGAAGGATTGTCTGATGGGGAAGAATCCCCTAACATACCCACTGCACCCCCAAGCATGGAACTAGAACCAGGATCAACTGACAGCGAGCCAGTAAACAATGAAGGTGATGCCTTTGAAGAACTAGGCACCACCACCAACTCTTTCTGCCCAGGCACAAACACTTATCACCAAGAACATCCCCAATACCACCAAGAAGCTTGGGCATGGACACCGTGTTGCGCATCTTACAAGGGCGGAGGCCCGCGTCATCGGATTTAGTCTCTTCGTCCGACGACAGCACCACGTGCAAACTTTGTTTTTTATGGATAGGGGTGGTACCTTTTTTTGCTTGCATCCCCTCAAGCATATCGGCAAAAGCAGAAGCCGAAAAATGAGCTAGGGAAATGACCCCGACAACCGGTTGGGAAGGTAAGGTCGGTCCGCTAGAACCATAATTTCCCCCTTCTGCTGAGAACAAATCCAACGAGATCCTACATATGTTTTTCAAATACAGGAGGGGGAGAGCCTTCACAATATCAACCTCCCGGTGGCAAAGCTTCCCCCGATAGCAACCATGCAGGGCCATCTCCAAGGAAATCTTGGATTCAGCACCTTCAAACACAATCCCTACATATAAGAACTCACAAGCCAATAAGATACCTTGTTCTTATTTTTTTTAAAATGGGGGAGGGGAGAAGGAGATGAGTAAATAGCACATCTTACGATGAATAACTACGCTATCTTCCCACGTGCCCTCCGGGCAGCACTCATACCGGCCGCAGCAAGGATGAAATATTCCCAGTTCTCCCTAATGACAGTAATGTTTCCCAGCCGTTTGCCAAGAGTTAGGTAATCCACGAATAGTTAGGGTAGATGGTCGGGAAAGTATCGGGTTTTACGAAACCCATACCCCACAAGTTTTCAGTTAACCAAGAGCCATTGCCTCTCCTAATTTTACTTCGAAGTATCTTGTTCGGAGATCAACATAAGAATACCCCGCCTTTTCGCTAGCATGTGGGTGCCTAAGTATGTAGATAAACAGAAGAAGTAACTCAAAACCCAAAAAGTGGGTATACAACCCAGAGATCGATAGATCAGTTCAAAACCTGCGATCTTATTGACAGCACTTGGGGTTAATTTGTCAACGGAAAAGCCGTAGTGATTCACGATCATATCAAAAAGTCGGATGTTGGCAGGCACAACCCCGCTTCGAATAGAGGAACAGGGACTCCCACTTTCCCTCGAGGATAGTCGTAGATCGAAGATCCCTTCACCGGAATCATCACACCATGCTCCGGTAAGAAACCGAATCGATCCTGTAGAAGTTGGAATTCCTCTACGATAGGGACTCTGCCATAACAGTCCATCATCAAGAATGGATGAATGGTAGAAAAGAAAATTTTGCAAAATGCTTGAGTCGATATAACGAAAGAAAGGAAAGGAGGCAAAGATAAAAGGTCTTAGGTAAAGGGGGGATTTTAAAGGCAAAATTGGTGTCACGAACCATCATATGACGGAATTAACACACATTAACGGCGTTGTCTAAAGTCTATTGAATGTCAGAGACAATCTCAGACATACACGTGCTGAAATATAGGCTGTAACGGCGACGCTACCAAGCCAACACATACACCTACAAGCCTAAGGGACTTATTAACGTATCCCTCAGGGAGAACGTCAATAAAGGAGAAGCCAAACTAACGCCAAGCTTGCCCTGGTTAGAACCTGGTCATATCCAGTCTGAGGCCAAGGCCAAGCCTTCGCCAACACAGAGCTGCTGGTATGATGGTTAAGGGGCACAACTATGCCTTGCCCTCTTCTTCAATAAGAAATACCCCGAAAAACGTGGGACCAATCAGAGTGCCCCACTTGCCCATCTGACGATAACCACGAACTTCATAATATCAAAAATTCTCCTTTAGCCAATGAGGCGACGAGGCAAAAACATGTGATGAAGGATCCATTAATACGGATCCACCACGTCGTGTTTCACGAGGGAATGCTCAATAGAATCAGTTAGGAGGCACGCACCTTACAACCAGGTATAAAAGGACCCTTCTTCTTCATGAAGAGGGGGACGGAATTCCTTTTCCTCAAACTTAACCTTTCTACTCTAAGAATCAATTCTAACTTGATCGTCGGAGCTTCGCCCCGGGAATCCCACCCAGATATCAACTAACTGTAACTCCCGGTTTCTGGTATGTATTTTAAATCAATTTATTCATTTTTGTACAGGACCTCGACGCGTTGGAGGCCCCAAACTCGTCGAGTGGGAACGGAATTTGGAAGCGGAACTTTAAGTCTACTCAACGAGTTGAGGGACCCCAACTCGACGAGTAAGGCTACCAGATAGATACCCTAAATTTTTAGGGTTTAGCTCCCTATTTAAACACCTTAACCACTAAAGGCTGGCCTCATTTACAACCTCCAAGTTCCAGAACCCTAGCCACCAAACCCTAATACGTTTTTGAGAGTTTTGAGCCATTCTTTGGTACTTTCTTGAGGTTTTGAAGATGTATAGACTTGAATAAGGAGCAAGTAATTTAAGTAAAAGAGTAGATCCAAAAGTAGAGCTTCATTTCTGGTTCACCTAAGGTATAAAGCTCTTACCTTTCTTATTGAATATTTAGATCTAGTTTTAGGGATTTTCTCCATGTTTTAGTTCAATAGTGGTAGCCTTTGGGATTTGGATGTGTTGGGTTATATGTCTAAGCCCATAATTATAACTGGGATGTACTTGACTCGATAGTAGCATGGTCCTTTTGGGTTGCCTTCACCAATGCAATTTGATAGGATGGACTTTTGAGAATAAAGTTATTTGTGATTTATTAATACATTATAAGTATAATATATTAATTGAGAAATCATATTATTTAATTAGTATTGATAAAGAATTAATTTGGAATTAATTTAGTGATAAAAAATACTAATTAAATATACGGGGACTGATTAAGTAAATCAACGATTCTTGTAGTGGGGGCCAATGATGCGTGGTTAATTAGGATTGGCTAAACCAATATGATAGTCCATGGATAGTCCATGGAGGTTTAACCCATGGAGCTTAAGTAATATGAAGGGTCATGGTGTAGTAGGGTTTGCATGGATGAAACCCTAGGCTTTGTAACATAATAAAATCAACCCTCTTGTGCTAAAACCGGTTGCTTATTCATTCTAAGAGAGTAATAACTGATTTTTGTGCTAACTAGCCTATTCTCTCAAGCCTTCCTTTGCATTTGGTGTTTGTGACACATTAGAGGCATCAAACTTGAGGTGATAAAGCTTTCAAGGCCAAGAACTTCAAACTACATAAGAGGTATTCATCTAACTATGAATTTTATGTTGTATATCCTCTATTGTATGCTAGTTAGGATGTATGCTTTGGAAAATTAAAATTGCATGTGTAATTAGAGAAAACATAGATCCAAAGAATCTAGGGTTACATGTGCACCATAAGAGTGTTATAATGCTTATAACCCAACAGTGGTATCAGAGCCTAGGATTGCTTTCTGTTATATTTTATGCTTGGTAATTTTTCAAAGCTGAAAAAGTCAATTTTCAGGCCTCTGACTGATGAACTCGCCGAGTCCACTGACTGACTCGATGAGTCCACTCAGTAAAAGGGCAACTCAACGAGTCCAGTTCATTTACTCGTCGAGTAGAGGCTTCAGGTTGAAGAATTTTGAGTTTTTGGCCAGAATTGGAATAAGATGATTACCACAAACTATTTAGTAAGCATAAAAAATGTATTTTCTGATTTGGTAATGATGATCCTCATCCAATTAAATGATAATTGTCAAATTTTAAGATAATAAAGTAATTATTTTTATTATTTGATATGAATTGTCTTACTATATGAGTTAGATTAGATCAATGGTATATTATATGATAATATTGATTAGTTAAAATTGTTCTAAAATTGCTCTTGAAGTGAGTTTTGTAACTTATCCTCAAGTTAAATGAAGAGTCTCATTCATGAACATTAAAACTCTTAAGTTTTCATAAGTTATGGAAACCAAAAGTTTTGAAGAGTTACAAAACTTGTCCTCAAGTTTTGGAATTTGTAAAGTCTCACTAATGAAACATTTAATTCCAAACTTTAGACTTTTAAAAGTTTAAAATTCAACCCTTATACTATTATAATATTATAAGTTTAATAATAATATATATATATATATATATATATATATATATATATATATATGTATGTATGTATGTATGTATGTATGTATGTATGTATGTATGTATGTATGTATGTATGTATGTATGTACGTACGTATAAGACAAGTTAGTCCTATCATTAGTACGCCTCATTCACGAAACCGGTCTATAAGGGAGTATAAGGTTACTACCTATAAAATGGTAATTTAATAGGTGTCCACTCTCACCCACTGCTTCCTTCACTTGTGGAGGCTCGTTAGACGAACGGGAAGGATACAACATTAATGCTCATTAAAAAGTATAATAATAGTTATAAGTAACTAAACTTTTATTAAATTCCCAATCTTAGTTACTTTAGGAAAAATGTGAAAATGGTGTTATTCCATGAAATTGCACTTTGCACCTTGCTAAGTCGTTAGTGGAGTGTGTGTGGTTAACCGGCACACTAATCTGCGACTGGAAAGGGTAGCAAAGGGTAGCTTTATGTTAATCATAGATCAATGCAGCATGTGTGGTTAACTGGAACAATTATTAGGTGATTTGTAACATTAAGAGTACCAAGTACATTTGCATGGTTAATCACACCTTGAATCTGATCCTCGGCATCCCAGTCACAAACTTGAAGGGTACAATCGAGATTTAAACATGACATTGAAAAGTTCAATAAATCTCAAAATAATCTAGGAATTTCAATCCAATTAAAACTTAATAATCAATTTCGTTTTTCATGGTGGAAATTGGTAAATTGCCATCTACCTACCTTCAAATATTTTGCCATTGGATTACAGCATCCCTATTTCGAATTGTAAAATATTGTGTTGGGTCTTAGCCTTAATATTTCATTTGGGTGTTATATTAAGGATTCTCATCTAATCTAAACTTTGTTCTTTTTCTTTTTAGATGTCTATCCCAAACAATGCTTCAGGCTCCAACCCTTCTAGCTCGTTCTCCTTCATGAACTTGGTTGGGAGAACTATCTTCGATGGGTCAAACTTTAACGATTGGATAAGAAACATTCATATGGCCCTTCGCTACGATGACAAAGAATATATCCTTGATAAAGAGCTGAAGGAGATTGATGAACAAATTGTTACTCCCGAACATATCGAGGAATACATGGTTCGTGAGAGGGACACGACAAAGGTGTCGTGCATTATGACTGTTGAGCTTCAAAAGTCCTATAAGGACTTCTGGCCCTTTGAAATGCACCAAGATTTGATGGAAAGGTACCATCAAAGTGCTTGGCAGGAAAGGTATAAGATCATTGCCTCCATGACTTAGGTGCATTTCTAAGACAGAGGGGCAGAATTTTCTCGAAGAAAGCCATTCAGGGGACACAACGGCACATGAACGCGCTCACACACTCACAAGCAAGATACTAAGCCTAAGAGTATACTGGTCGGACGTATACAACGACGTTGCAGCCTT